AAAAAAAAAAAAAGAAAATGATACTCCCTCCGTCCAATAAAGATAGTCCTATTTCTTTTATCACACGGATTAAGAAAATTTAATTAATATAGTTGAACAATAAATTTTACTATCATTTTTCCTAATATACCCCTACATTAATATAATCAATATTTAAGGTAATTAAATTGTGCATGCAATATTCAAGGTAATTAAACTAATTTTTTGGTTTTTTATTTATTGTTCCAACTACAATTGAATAATGAAGTGGTTTATATGTGTGATAACATAAATAGAGGCATAATAGGAAACTAATATATTAACTACTCTCTCAAATAAGAATCATGACTATAATTTGGGACGGACGAAAAAGGAAAACGTGACTATCTTTATGGGACGAAGGGAGTAAAAGAAACCAAATGTGTTCACAGAAAAACATAATGTACAAAATAAATATATTAAACAGACTCGATTTTATCATTCTTTTACATGGAAGATAATATCACATCTTTTCCATACGTCATGCAAATATCTGTGTCATCTTTACTCTTTTTATCAAGATTTAGATTTAAGGATCAAGCTCGACAAGTGCATCATTTTTTTGTAAATGGGTGAGGAGCTTCAATGCACGACCTTTGCACGCTCTAATACCTTGGTGAACCACCTCATCTAAAAGCTATTAGAAAGGGGGCACATTTATTTATTTAACTTTTATATTCAACAAATATTGTAACAAGAAGAGCAATCTAGGAAAAATTGTGAGCAGAAAGATTATAATTTGGTGTTGGCATAAAATTTTGGGGTACTTTGGATCAGAAGTTGACCTGCAATCATTCAAGTTATGTCTGTAGGTCACCATTGCAGAAGTTCCACTCTTTCATTGCAGATCACCATTTCATTACATGTATAAAATTAATTATCTAACAGTCAAATATTACTCACCATATTTTTTGACCATTTAATCCAAAGGAAAAACAAATTAGACAGCATACAGAAAACAAAAAGAAGTGTAATCTTCTTAATTACTGTAATAATGGCAGCAAGGAAAAGAGTCACCCCACAAGCGAGTAAGTTTGACTTTGAGGAAGTTTCCTTAAAATATCATGCAGGTGCTACAATATACTGCACTTATTTCTATTTCAGTTTATAACAAAAAAAAAATCGATCCATCCCATGTTCAAAGCATGCTTAAGAAAGCTTTGATTCACCAAGAGAAAGGAATTAAATAAAAGACACTGCTCTATAATGCCCTATGACGTGGTTTATTCTCTGTAATATTGCATGAATGAACTTTTTGTACAAAAAAACTGAAAATAAATTAAACAATGACACAAGATAAGAAAGTACAGTGCTTACATGATTTGCATGCAGACGACTCATAAGAGAATCCAAGAATTTGATGATGCCATCCCATTCGCTGCTTGGTAACTGCTGAGGAATAGCTCCAGGTGATCTAGATGACTTTCCACCATGCACTCGTTGATTTTTTGGTGCCTTGAGAACCCAGCAACAATTGATCAACCAATTAGTAAAAGTTAGGCACATTTAAAGAAAGGGAAATCTCCAGTCCATACAAAACTTCCAACTGTAAAACTTGGAACAGCTGATAAGGACATTAACCGACTGTAAAAGTAGGTAAATTGGTTGAGTCATTCCGATGAATCACACAAAATTACGATGCAGAACAACGAATTACAAATTTACTGTACTAGAATTCTGTTGAATGACAATTTTCAGACCAAAGACGTGGAGATCAAGTCGATGGTACAATAAAATGACAAGAAATGAAAAATATGCCTCTTAACCAAGAAAGAAATATCATGCGTACAAACATCAAACCTGAACAGGATATTTAGCCCCTATTTCGTTTAGATAAAATTCAGATTTTTAGTAGTTTCAGATAAAAGTTGGTGGAAAGTGTGGTTGAAAAGTTGTTACTCCCATGAAATGCCTAGTTAAAATTAATTGTTGACTTTGATTTAGATTCTAATCAAATTCTTTAGTTGAACCAAACAGGGGCTTAAAATGAGGAAGACACATTGCATGTGTGAACCCATGTGCACATGGACAAAAGCTGAGAAATTATTCAAGCGGGTGAATCTATGAATTCAGAAACACAATGATAAAAGGAAAAACCACAAACAAAATAAAGAGCAAAGGCAAATATAGCCACCTGAATGCATTGAATCAATAGGGGAGAGATTTCCTTCTTCAAATTATCGCGAATCAAGCCAAATATCTTCTCTACGCAAGCAGTTAATTGTTGTTTAAACAACATAGCAGGATATCTTGCTTCCATATGTGATAAACCATCCTCCAATCCAATAAATCTGAAAGGCGATTTTGAACCCTAAGACGAGAAAAAAACTGGAACTCAGTTCTCTCATCAAGCAAAAAACAGTAGTTAAAATTTTAATGACAACGCGTGTAGTAATATCAAAATATAACAGAAAAACAGTAGAAGTCAAGTCCTATTGACCAAGTGTTTGAAATACAAGTAGGTCAAAATAAGATGAGAAAAGCACGTTGAGATTTTTCTTATTTTTCTAAGCACGGTGAGATCGTAACGCAAAAAATTTGACATATATAGATTGGAAAAAGTGAATAGAAAGATGTTCAATTTCATTCTCGACTTTATGCAAAGAATTATATGTATCCAACCTTTAAAGAGTAAACTGGGCCAGGAGTATTAGTTGCAAATTGAATCATTGAACCCACCCAAAAATCGTATATATCTTGTATTAAGTGATATACAAAAAAATTATGAAAGCAACACTAACTAAGCCATGGTTTATACGCAAAACAAACTTACTAGTGCAACCCTTCCACTCAAACCAGTAGACCCTGCAGATCGCTGAGAAGTTGCAGTCAAGAAACCATTGGAGCGTAGATTCCTTTGGAGGAGGCATAGAAGTGCTGATGTATTAGATAACCAGTAAGGCAAGGTAGCATCCTCGTCACCTTCCTAAAACAAAAGGAAATAAATCATAACACAAGAGTCAATGCACTTTTTAGCCATTCCAAAGCAATTACCAAAAATTACCAAAATAACAATATATAGTAATCTCACAACTATAAGACAATCAAAACCAAGTTAGAGGCTTCATGAAAAGTAGTTTAGATTTAACTAAGGAAATCACCTTCATAACATCATTGATGCCCTCAATAATAAAGTCAAAAATAGCTGTTCTCTCGGACTCAAAGGCACGCCAATGAAGAAGGCACCTGTAGATTACACAGGCAGCTACTGGTTTCCCATCTTTAAAGCCCAAATTCTCTTTAATGCACCGTGAAATAACTTCATAATTTTCCTACAAAAGTTCCAAATTTTCTAGAAGGATGAACAAGATAATGATATAAATCACTGAAAAAGGAATAACCTAATTAGTTACTAAAGATCCTTCCATTTTATTATCCATCACGACAACTTGAATAATAAAATCGCCATACTTAGTAAGGAAAAAACCTGAGGTCTTTCGACAGTTAACTTTGTTCTGCGGGAATCAGAAAACCCGTGCGAGAAAGGTGCCATGATTTTGGAAGGAGTGGGTGATTCCTATATCAAACATAATAAATTAGTCAGAAACCCAAACAGGAATATAGTTATCAATCACACTTAATGGATACTGCCAACTTACAAATGAAGGTTTCCGTTCGGCAGCAGGAAGAACAAGTGCATCAGAGAATTTCTGTTTCAAAAGAAAATACCCCTTATAAAATGACTCTTCTTAATGAACATAAACTTATAACTTCGTTTCCAACTAGATCGTTACAAAACGAATGCAAAAAGAAAAAACAAAAATCAATTGCCACACTCCAGCTGATACCTTGAAACAAAATCAAGATCAAAATATCAAGTACTTTGTTCTGCATTAACAATTTTTTTGCAGTATCTTTTTTCGGCTCTCGTCTAGTGATGCAGCATGGTGTTGGCATTGGATTTCTGATGCAGATAAAATAAGTAAAATTTGAGTTTATCTAGATTTTAGTAGTTTTATATGTTAGGAGTTTGATATTATCAACGTCATCTTTTCTTACAAGTTTTTTTAGATAGTTTAATTACATTGTAAGTCCTTTATATAAAGGGGCTTAGGTTTTAGTTTACAGACACCCTTGAATAGATGAATAAATTGATTTCTCTTGCTCTAAATTATTTTGCTCTTTGATCCCATTTCTTTTTCTCGTTCCTCTTCTTGTTTCTTGTCAAATTAAGTTCCTGCGTCAATGTCACATTTAGGCCCGTTTGAGCCACATTATTTTTTTCATTCTCATTCTTCTTTTCAACCATATATTCTTCAATAAAATAATATTTTTCATTATATCAATAACTTTTCTTTCTTTTTCAACCACATATTCCCCATCACATCAAACGAAAAAATGCATTCTTGGACTCAAAATGGGCACCAAACAGGGGCTTATATTTTGGTGGTTAAGATGACATTTTACGTTGTATTGTGGCTTTAAGGAATGCAATATCCAGATGATGACTTTTCTTAACATCTGGGGGATTAAGAAACTGTCTAAAATATGCCATTCTGATAACACAATCAAGAACATCAGACCTGATATGTAAGCGAGCAGAATATGAAGTGGTTTAATGAATTTCGACCTATACATTATGACCATAACAACATAGTATATCTCATTTCCTCCTAGTCCCATTCCAATAAAGCCAAGTTAGGTACTCAATTATCTGAAAAATGTATGTCTATCAAGGTAAAACACCTCTTATACAAGATATTTAATCAAAAGACGAAGTAAAAATGGATAAGCAAATGACTGCTTACCTCCAAGAAGGGCTTGATAACACCAGCACGGTTGCTCTTTGGAGACACATTTAAAGTTTTTTGCCTTAGGATATGATTCTCATTCTCCAAATTTGACACCTTTTCTTCCATACTGATGAAGAAAACAAAACTCGCAGCAGTGATAAAGAAACATATGAAAGCTTTTTTAGAAGTGGAAAGAAAATGCAAGTTTATAAACCAGAAAACAACAGCAAGGAAGTGCATAAGCCTTGAGAAATGGCACTTAAAGCATAAGCTTTGCGGCTATTAATGAAGGCTTCACATGAGGTACACCTCAAGGGGCAACCCTTTTGCACTTTTAAAAACAATGTATTCATTTATTGATGTTGTCATGGAGTTGGGGTCAAAAGAAAACAGACATCTAATGGAGCACTAAACATGATTTCTCTATAGAGTAATATTATACCTTTGCAAATTCTGTTTGAGTTGCAAACATGTTTTCTCAACTTCCCTCAACTTTATAATGGTAATACTTGCATCTTCTTTGGCCTTCGCAAGTTCACGCTCTAGGGTTGAATTCTTCTGCTCCAGTGCACTCAAAGAACTCTGCAAACCAATTTGTTGATATGCATAATGTTGCTATCATGACAAAAATCCATAACCAGTTTTATGTTACCTTGTCAAATCTAAAACAAAATAACTATTAATAATTTTTCAGGCATGTTATAGATAATACAAACAGAATATTATAAATACCATGATCAAACCAAAAATAAGACACTAGTTTAGTGGTAAAGTGAGAAATCAAGTTAAAGAGGAAAGTTACAAAACTAACAGCTAAAAGTGTAACAACCCAACCTCTGTGTCCAAGCTATTAACTTACGTATTGTCCGCTCTCATAGAACCTGAACCCCATCTTATCCCTCACGACTTTCTGTCGCATCTCCCAAGATTCAAACATGTGATCTCCTCTTAAGAGAGACTTAAGGTGAATTATAATTGTTACAAAAAAACGTGTATTTTAAATCTTTCTTAAGAGAAAATTACGTGTTCGATCCTGGAGAACATGATTAAAAATCGTGAGGGGTAAGATGGACTCAAATTCTCCCAAAGCGGACAATACATAACTTAACGACTTGGACACAGAAACTAGGTCGTTACAAAAAATGCCCATTTGTTTTTAACGATCTGACCTCTATGCCCAAGCCGTTATATCATAATGTCCACTTTGGAAAAGCATATGACCCTCTTACCCCTCCCCCAAAATTCGAACTTAAGACCTCGGCCTAATGAGAAACTTAAGTTGAATTCCATACCAATTGGTAAGTGTAATGCCATGTCTCTGTATCCAATCCGTTAACTTATGCATTGTCTGCTCTGGGAGAACCTGAACACATCTTACTCCTCACGACTTTCCATTACGTCCTTAGAATTCGAACACGTAACCTACCCTTAAGAGACCAATTGGGCACCAGATTTCAACTTGAGTCCCTTTTAAAGGAAAGGTCATGAGTTTGAATCTTAGGATCACGACAAAAATCTATGAGGGCTGAGATGGACTCATGCTCTCCCATATCATACCGTACGTAAGTTAATGACTTGGGCATAAAGGTTGGGTCATTACAGAAAGAGTGATATGACACTATAATGAAAACTAGATGATGAATGGACTCTAGAAATTATTTTGTTTCTCCCAAATATCTAATAACCGATTTAATTATAAATTATGTGGATTTAGAGCATGTTCGGAAAATAAGCCCATTGCTTTTACGTTGTGGGTTCTATGATTTTTGAGATAAAAATAAGTTCAATTTAGGTAGCGTATTCTATCTTTTAAGCTCTGGGTCCCACCAATGCCGAATTGGCACAATTTTAGCCACAAAATGATTATTAATAAGCTACAAGCCCATCCAAATATGCTCTTAATAACTTCTAAGCTTTAAAGTTCTAATTCAGCTCCAACATTCTAGAGACATCTTGGTAAAATATTGAAATCCTTCATCAGCCTCCATTTTCTCAAAGTTCCCACAAAGCACTTACTGGATAGAGAATATCAATACATAGATGGATCGTAAATAGTAATACAACTAAGAAATAAATATTAAATAAAATCTGAAAAGACTCGACCTTTCAAACGTCTCTAGTATTAGAACTGAATATTCAATAAGGGAAAGATATATCAAACTGAAAGCAATATATGATTGCAATGGATCATGCTAAAATACCTTCAAAACATAATTTTCTTTCCTCAATTCTGCCACAGAAATAACGTCTTTTTCCAAAGCAGATTTATCCTTAGCCGATGACTCAAGTTGTTTTTGTAGCACTACATTTTTATTGAACTCATTAAGGCTTGCAAGCTTAGCAGCGTCTAGTTCAAGGCTCAAAGACTCGACAGTCTTCTGAAGTTTTGAGATTTCCACCAACTTAGCCTCTTCATTAGACACCTGTTTCAAATAAGCCTTGAATTGTGAACAATCAAGATCCAGACAGGAAAAAGTGCAAAAGAGCAAGAAAATGAAGAGACCAAAGCCAAAACAGAATGAGAACTTCTTTTGACTACTCTAAACAAATATCAGTGAGAAAAATGGTCACTATTTACCAACTTAACAGAGATACGAGATAACTGACACTGTTACCAAATTTGCACTGCAAACTTTAATCATGACAAGAAAATGTTTGCCCATAAAGAGAACATTCCTTTCTAAGAAAACTTATCACCTTTGTACAGAATTTATACCGATTGAAACTGCCAAACAATCCACTAATCCATATACACCTGCTTCACATGTTCTCTTCTCTCTCTCTTTTTTTCTTTTCTTTNGATACAAAATTGACACAAGGAGCACCTCAATAAGCCAAGGTGTAAGGCTTGACAAATGGCATTCAAAGAATTAGCTTCGAGGGCTTATGAGTAAGCCTCATGCGCATTATATAAGAATGATGGCGATAAAAGAAAGAAAATTATCTTTCTTGCACCTAAGAAACTGATGATGACTAGCAAAAATTAATCACATATACAAGTTCCTCTTCTGTAGTAAATATTACATAGACAGAGAGTGGTACCCTTAGTTTTTTCTCTAGGTGCAATCTCCATGTGAGATCCTCCAATTGCTTTTCAAGCTTGCTTTTTGCCAAGCGCAGAGCACCAGCCTCATTGGCCTCCTGAATAAAGAACAAAATATAAGGTTCATCAGTTACAAAGCACAATGAACAAAAGAATTCAATCAACCAAAGAAAATAAGCCCTTGTTTGATCCCCATAATTTCCTCTCTTCTTTTCAACCACACATTCTTCAATAAAAAAATATTACACGCAAATCCAAAAATTTTCCTTGTTTTTTAAACACACATTCTCTATCAATCTACTATTCCGAAATGCGATTTATACAAAAAATTGGGCTCAAACAAGCCCTAAGTTAGAACAAATAAAATATTTTATGCATGTTATATCGTGTGGATTTCCAAAACGGCTTCTCAAGTGCAGATGACAACCCAGTTTGCCAGATACGGATTGTTTGAAGGAAGATGTATCGAACATCTTTAACAAACAAAGAATAACCATTCTAACATTAAGAACTTGTTTGGGAGGGATTAAAAACAACACATATACATCATCTAAATCTTATCTTCAACACAAAGCAATAACAAAAATAATCATTTTGTTGATAGTCACTTCCCAAGTAAAACATTCTTCATATAGGATCAAATAGCAAACTCATTATCCATGAAAAGTACAAAACAAAACCCACCTCTGCTTTACACAAATGGAGAGGTTAACAATAGTAATATTATGTCCAAGTGACTCGTTTGAGCATCCAAAAGAAGAAATTTGTCCAACATTTAGAAGTGCCGAATAATTATTATAAATCAAACATAGTGTCAAACAAGAAACAAAATAGTCAACCTACAAGATTCAGCGATATCCTCACCTTTTTAAGCCTCCTGAGTTCTCTTTTTGCCAACTTTTGCCTCCAAAGACATTGTATTGCAATGATATTAGATTGACGATTAAGATAAACTGAGCGGATCCTGAACATTCTCCAATGAGCCTATCAAAAAGCAAAATAATGTATAGAATGTAAGGTAACAAATCCTGGAACCAAGTTTTCTGTTTTGCTTGTAAAATTGTTTGTATTCCAGTATTAAATTATAAATTGTTATCTAAAAACTTGATTACCATGCGAAAATATCACAAATGAAATAAATACTAAATAAATGCCGCCACAGAAATTATGCATCTTTCAAGTCAAATACAAATAGGAAAATCCAAATGAATCTTTTGAATCTTATCGACTGAGTCAAAAATTTTAAATGCAACAATAAACAAATTCCATTCCTCCATCACCAACAGTAATTGTCCAGTAAGGATTCTTTAGCTTCCCAACTGGTACACTAAAATCCACAGCCAATAATTGGTCTTTGTTGAGGCCTACACCTTTCTCACAGAGTAAAATGCCTCAATATCAGATTGAGCCATTTAAAACATTGATTGTAAGAAAACGGTGTTTAATGATGACAGATTCAAAGCATCCTTAAAACATCATCCATTTCAATTCAAGACATACTTAACTTCTCCATGTCCTTAGATTTCTTGAACAATCCTCTATGTAATTGCCTTAGTAGACAAAGTATTCTTCTTGGAGAAGTGGAGATTAGATTATAAAGTTTGAAGAGCTTTGAAACGTTTTCTTCAGTGTATGATGCAGTATGAGTAGCATGTCTGTAGTACACAGGATCAATGACTGGTGTTTTCTTCTTATTGTTCCCTTAATTTTCAGGAAGTCCTTATTTTACATTAAGAACTTTTGGGTGCTGAGCATATAAAAATCCCAAAACCAGTAAAAATAATATCCAATACATCAGTACTCAGATCTTCCACTAGATCTCTTCTCTATTGAATTCTATACCACTACTCATCCATCACACGAAAAACCTTCAAGTCCAAATTTTCTTGGTTTTCCTTGAGGGCATAGCAAAACAACCCAAAGTCATCTCTTTTATCCACCAATTTTGGCATAAGAGACTAAAGAACAAACCCCCTCCAGCCCCCCCACTCTCCTTTCCTATGTACTAGGTTTAAGTAAACACAATAATATACAATTTCTACCCCAACAATGACCTTAAACACGCAGGTTTACTGTGCGTACTTAGAGACATAAATAACAGCAAACACGCATAACTGCAAACTATAAAATTCACCTGAATGAGAGTGGCTGCTTTATGTTCCTTTCTATATAAAAACCTCTGTCGAGTTGAAAACCCACGGATGCTAGATTGTACAACTACAGATGACGCATAGAGTTGAATATATGCATGCCTCAAAATCCATCTTCTGACAAACTTCTGTATTTCAATGGCAGCTGCTGCCTTACGCAACGCAGCATACATATTTCGAGCAAGATAACCTGCAAAAATTGAAATATTGTTCGAATACTACTAAGAACCACCACAAGCCAAGATACCAAAAAGAACAGCTCATGGAGAGACGAAACAATTAATACAATCATACTCGAGTACTCACCTAGCTTTACCTAACAGCCACCATTAAGCTTATTTTGGAAAGAGTTTGTAGCATAAATTTCCTATTCTAAAATTAATCTACAAGTGAAAACTGAAAAATAGAGGCCCTCACGGGATATAAAAAAAATGAACTGATCCTCGGATGTTGCTCAATTCTAACTAAGCATTCAACTAGATTACAAGAGTATACACTCCATTTGTTAGCCTCATCAAATATAAACATTTATTGAATCCAGTGAGTCTTGACTAGTTTATTGTATCCTCCTCATTTACAGGGTGGATTCCCTTTTTTCATCACTGGCTTGCATGTACTTGAATTCAGAAACATTTGTGCACTAGATTCAATGTAGAACCACCTACTATAAAAGATTAAGTTTTCAAAAAAAAAGTGGGAAATTTAAATAATTTAAATTGTTTTCAAAATGATGAATACTTATTTCGATCTTGTAACTACACATTAGACAAACAACACACAGAGCAGTGGACCCCAGAGGTAAAATTTCTCAAGCAAATGGCATGATTAAAGACATGTGGCAGAAGTATAATACAGAAGCTGTTAACATCCTATTTTTTACGGGAATAAGACCTCTGCAGCATGATTGTAGAGAAATTGCAGCCACACGGTGTGAGATAAAGTCCCGGCGCGCATGAAATGTCCGTAGGCGGCCCTGAATATGCTTTGCTGCTGAATCCAAAACCTCAGCTCGACGTGCGTCTAAGATACCAATCTGGCCAGCACGAAGGAAAACTTTGGTTTTTCCCAACTGCAAAAGGAAAGTGAAAGATAGTCGTGAACATTAAGAAATGTGGAAGAATATTCAAAACCCACCAGTGGGCACCAAATCACTGCAGAAATCAATACAAGTTAGAATTCTCGTAAAAAGAGACCTGAAAGTTCCCAAGATTCAATCTCTGCAGAATTTTTGCAGTTGTCATTTTTTCATCATAACTGTAAGCATATAAGGAAAAAAAAGAGAGAATAAATGAACCTGAGCAAAGCATGTTAAACTTCGGAAATGGAGATGCAAATGAGCCAACATAAGCACAAGAAAGACAAAGACATCCACAGCCATGTAGTCATCAAACAGTTGAGAGTACTTCGAAATATAGAAAAGAGTTGCAATTTGCTCTCTTATATGCAGTTATGAGGATTGTATCACAAGACAAGAATACAGAAAAAAGGTGGCATTGTTTACTGAAGGATTGATACCAGAAATAGCATACAACAGAGTACTAGTGCGAGAGTGAGCATATGGGAAAGTGCAGCCCCACTTTTACACACTCATTGTAGAAGGGAGAGGAAGAGAGCCGTGACCTATACATATAAGGATATGACAGCCAAAATGGCAAAAACTCTATATTTGAAACAGTGATACCATAAGTTTGCAGAAGATATCAACAATGCAAATTACTTGGGAAGAAATACAAAGAATTAGGTCAATGAATAAAGTATAATTAAAATTACCTTTCGTCCAGGATATCCAAGGCAATTATACCAAATCTATCTACAAATTCATGATAAGTCTTCCGTGTGGGATAACCTGCCAAACTTATACGAACAGCCTCTAAAACACCCTGCATAAAATTAATACAAGTATGATATGAGACCATGCGACAATTGCCTTGAATTGCAAACAATCTCTCATGAAAAAAAAACACTGCTTGGTGTACTGTTCTCTTTTCATTTTAACAAGTTCAAGTGCCAAATATAAAAGATAAATGTTAGACGACCCAAAAAACAATGCCCTCCTGGAGCACTACAGTTTTGTTCAGAAAAGGGAAAAAAGAAACAAATATAGTTCTACTGCAAAATATTTAATATTGGGATGTCAGTAGTTTGCTTTAAAAATTAAAGAAGTATAGGCGTGATTATAGGACGACTACAGTTTGTTTTTAAGAAATATAAGATGCACGCATCTGTTTTAATGTAGAAAATGAACACTGATAGTAACATTGGAAGTAATGTGCTTTCACAAAGGAGTGAACACAAGGTGGTTTTACATTGCAGTAAAATGCTGACGATATAATATCTTTACTTCAATTAGGAATATTCATTTAGACAGGAAAAGAAGATCGTCAATAGATATTAAAAAATGATGCAAGAGTGCAAAATGAACACACTGAGGAAGCCAGCATTCACAAGCAATCGAAATTATATTTTAGTTTACGAGGTTATGTTGTGCACATATGGTTGTTTGAAATCCCTTCCCATGGAAGGTATGGACACGTTGTGTAGGCACTAGATCAAAGCAAAATCAATCAGTTCAGAGTTCTAGTTCTCTTGTATGAGCCACTTTAAAGAATTTTTATCACAATGCCGAAGGTTATAATAGACTTCTAAGATTAACCCACAGGCCACGATAGTATTGAAATGAAAGTTTCCAGGTATTCTGCAAAAATGCCCACAGAAAGAAGGGAACTGAGCTAGTTAAAAATGCACATATAGAGTCAAAGAGAAGAATATGGCTTCTGAGAGACTTGAAATGAAAATAATATGCTTGTACTGACCCCACAACGTAATTGGTGTAGGATGCTCTGGTTTTCGAACTTGTGAGGTCGGTTTAAGGAGTTTGGCTTCACACATCTAATGTAATGAGGCTCAGTTGAGCTGAGAGTTGCCATGAGAGCTTGAAGTTGTTGCTGCAAGCCAAAATAATAAATGAGAAAAATTCCCTCGTGCTGTTAGCTAGAGAGAATGCTCATCATCTAATCATAAAAAATCAAAAGAATTAAAAAAGTAGCAACTGGATTAAGCAAATGGTTTTCCACGAAGTAGAGTTAAATTTATAATGTGCCAAGCCCAAACCTAAAAACAGTAGAAAACAAATAGGAGCCAAATTTATAGCATCAAAATCATAACCTGACTGACAAGTTATATATTTTGGATCTAAAATGGCAATACCCCACCATTACAATTGACTGCACAAGAATGGTAGCCGGATTGGGCCTTCCTATGCCCACATGAATATAAGTGCTACTGTCCAGGTAAAATAGGAAGCATATAATGCAAGAGTATTTGTCAAATAAAAGTTACTTAAGACAATTATGCATGCTAAGCAACCAGAGAAAAGTTCTTACCTTAAACCGAGAGGCCACTGAAGAAAACTTGTATGATGATCGTGAAGATTCTTCTGGTAGTGGGGGAAAGAGGCCAGCAATGAAAGGACTTTTGGAAGAAGATAGTAAATTGCAGTGTTCAACAACAACGTAATCACGGTTTTTGTCTAAAAATGTGTCTGTCTGATAGGTGACCTAGAGAAGATACGGTGTGGAAGTAAACCAAGAGATAATTATTCTCAAGTAACAAAATTATCTTTTGGCAGAGTATAAACACACCTTGCCAGCATAGTGAGCAATGGTAAAATCTGTTTCGGAAAATTTCGCTTTCTCTAACCGTGGGTGAGACCGAAAATTCTGGAACAGCTTGTTTGAAAATGTTTCGTGTGTTGATTTCGGGAACATGCTGCATGAATAAAAAGTCAGGATAAGGATAAGTAAACAACATAAAACGAATAAGCAGCGCACACCGCACACCAATTGACAGGAGAGAATTTGTATTGTACCAAGCTTCATCTAAAAGAGCAATGATTCCTATGGGCTTCTGCAAAAGCATGTATAACATGACATGAGTCCCAAGTAAAACTAATTCCAAAAAGTAACCTTTGTTTATGCATCTTAGAATATGTATGTCTCAATTTATAAGTGGATTAAATGATAATAGAAACTTTTTTCTTCCATTCACAAGAAGTAAACTTTTTCTTTCAATCACAAGAAGTTGCTTTTTTACTACTTATAGAAAAACTAGTCACTTTTTTTACAATAAAGAGGCAGGTAGTGCAGAATAAGAAAAAAAATTACAAGTACTATGAAAATAATAAGATGCTCTTCACAAAAAAAGAAAAGATAGTGTAACTCCACAAATTCACATTATATACAGTAGCATGCCTTTTTTTCCCCTTCTTCAAAGTAGCAAACTCAGGAAGTCCAATTAAGCTTAGAGGAACATCAAATAAGCGAGCAAGGGAAGACCTTCTCAATTAGATCTAAAACATCTTGATTGTCAATAAATTCAATGTAACTCCAATTGATTTCTTCTCTTCTGTATTCCTCCTGCTCCATCTTAAACACGTGCTGGAAAACAAAACCCACAAAAAAGGTTATAACATAATTAAGGAGCTGGCATGTCTTATTCACAGTTGATAGAAATTGTTGCATCATATAGTGCCCCTTCTCACCTCATTAAAATGTTGTTGGAGCTTTTCGTTCGCAAAATTGATGCAAAATTGCTCAAAACTGTTCAAGTGGGAGCAAAATGTTGCCAAAGAAAGCACCAGGTTATGTACAGAAAAAAGTATAATCAACAAAAATCTTCAGAGTACATATTGTGTGTTAGAGCTCTATAATTTGCTTAGATATAGAAGACAAATTTCTAACAGTGCAATGAAGACTAAAGAAATTGTTTATGTGCTCAAGAAACAAGAAATTTCCTTGTCGTGTGATACTGATAGCCTTTTTTATTATCAAGACAATCAAACAATAACACGCCACAATAATGTATACTTTTATTTCATGTGTTCAGCAACTAACGGCAATCATATGGACATTCTTGCTTGAGCGCATTTGCTTGGAAATCACAAGATCTAGTTCAGAGTGGATTCCTTAAAGTTCAAATTCTACTAAACCCCTGTTTGATTGCCATTATTTTGAGAAAATAGAGTTTTGAACAGTGATTTTTTTTGGAGAATGTGTGGCTAAAAAATATGGAAATTTTTTTATTTACATGCAAAATATTTGATTGTGTAAATGAGCAGTTGAAAATGAGTATGAGAATTAAAGGGTTTTGAAATAATGGTTGTTAAACAGGGATTAGGTAACTTCGAGTTTTGCAAGTTCAGACATCTAACTATTAAGGGTAAATTTCACGCTGAATAAAGGTGAAAAAAATATACAATATATAAAGGTTTAAACTTCTACTCTTAACAAGTTGACTTGGGGTTGCATTTTAAAAAGGTCGATCTTCTTAAAAAACACTAACACAAGCCCTTTATGTTGTATATTTATTTCAACCTTGTTCGATGTGGATTTACCCATAACACTTCATAGTGATGGTGTAAACATATTTTTATGGAAGGCTTCAGTCATTGAGCCTTTTCTGTATGATAAGGGGCAGGCTCTCTAAGCTGGATACTTCTTTTTTGTTTGGCTTATACCCATTCTCAGAAAGTATTTTTATTCAAGAAATGACTTGAATTGAAATATAAGGTCCCATAAACAATATAACTAATAACCTGTTAAGCTTAAAGCATTCAAATCCATATATGTCCAGTACTCCAATTTGCATCTTAGATTCATGATCTTGCCCAACTGATCGGTTAATCTTTTCAACAAGCCTGAAAGAAGTGGAAACCATGTAGACTTTAGCGTCAGGTTATTCATTTTTGATAAAGTACAAGAACTGGTTTGAAGAAATGCATAAAAGCCAGAAGACCAATCAAATAGTCCAGCATAAACTGTTTTGGCCAAAGCATCCCGACCCGCTACAGCAGCATTACAATCAAGAGCTTTGACAATTATTCCTTCGTAAGTTTGAATTGAGCGCGTGCAAAGTGTGGCGAGCAAAAGATTCACATCACACCTGGGGAAAGTAGTAACTTATGATTATTAAAGGCCAGGAAGAATTATCGAACAATCAAAACCTAACAAGTCACTGCTCCAAAAATGAGCACCAGACTAGCCCAAGGTTCATAGTGCATTGCTGGACTAAAAGAAATACAATCTTAGAGAAATTTGCAAAAGTAACATATATAACCGCAGAACACTCTTGGAAGAAAAATATAAGGAAACCACAAATTGCTGGACTTGATAATTTATGACCAAGTTAGTTGTGATGAAGAAGAAAAGTTTGTCCAAGAAATACCATAATTAACCTACATAAAAAGATCAGCAGCCATCTGTAAGTGAAAGTTAGACTTCTGATCCTTAATAACTGATGAGTCATGCTCTTTGCCTGGAGAAAATTCTATGTTTCCCAGATGCAGAATCGCAGCCAAGGTCCGAAATATTGCTTCCTGGTATAACAAAGATGTGATATAACGATTGCACAACCTCGCAAAGAGACAATAGGTAAAAAACACCAAAAAAATCACGAAATTGTGTGGGACCTGTTCCTCATGACTGATGCCAACAATATCCATTGCCCTTCTTGTTTTTATGTATTCTTCGGCATTGCTCACTCCATCTAAATCATAAATCTTACTTTGATTCAAGTAATGGAAATTGCTTGGATGTCCTAGTTTATATATTTCTGCATCCTGAAAAACAAGTTGACATAAAGTTTGATGAAATCAGAGAATATTAGAGATGACACAAGTAAAAAAATTCTTCTTTAATCTGAGTTCTCTTGGAATATGGTGCATATGCCTATACAACAATGCTCAAATAGCATAAAGACGATAAAAAATATAATTTCAAAGGAGATAACTATGAAAATATTTTCTGTGTTATTAATTTAAAAGTGTCTGCTTTCAACAATCCTGCATCTAGGTGAGTTATTCGCCACTACACTCAAACCAAGTAGGAGTTTGCTGCCAGAAAATAAAAGACAATATTCTTAGTATCAAAAGATTGAATGTTATTTGTAGTTTATTCATTAACAATCCTATCAGATCAGAACAAATACCAATTTAGGTAAGAATTTGACTTTGAGTTGGCAATAAATGCACTCTGAATTCACAAACATCAAGAACAATGTACATGTCCTCATTCCTCCATATCTCAAAGGAAAGAACATTTGTTAATTAGTTTCATTTCATGTACTATTCGTATAAAAATCTCATTTAATTTGACATAGTGGAAGAGAAATAAAAACCAAGCCAGAATTGCATTTACTGAACAATTCAGTCTGACATTTGCATATTTATTCAATAGAGATGGAGAAAGTACCCTGTCAGATGCGCACAACTGATAAAAGCAGTGGTAATTTCTTTCAGGGTCTGTTATTTGAACGACACGCGATCGCTCCAGTAAGTATGTTCTAATTGCAGCACCAGAAATTCTACCACTTGCATTGAACTGGATCTCAACAAACTTGCCAAAGCGACTGCAGCAAGCAAGCACAAGTAGTAAGCACAATTACACAAGGTGAAAGAAATTGTGGTTGAAGTCGTAGTCATTCTCAGTATTACCACTACATTATTTACACAGGCGAATGATAATCATTCCAGCAAAAACTTCGGAAGTCATATCGTTTTACAACCAGCATAACTATTATATGCTACTACCACATGCCATGCATTCCATATTGATTTGATGCTCCACATTATACATTTCATTGAACTCAACCAGTCATATAAAAGAAGGAAAAAAAACAGATGTCTAATAATTTATTTAAATCGGTCAAAGTGTTAATATGCAACAGTAGCAAGGACAGATTAGATAAAAATAATAAAATTTGGAGTTCAGTGAAGTCCTTGTGCCAGAAGAAGGTAAAAGCATCCCCTTGATATCCTAATCCAAACTGTAATATACTAATACATCATACACTAGCACTTAAAGGTTTCAAACTGCATGGGTTGAATAAACAAAAAAAAATAAAAATGTTCAGAATAAAACCAGATGAAGCAGCAGAAACATAATAGAGGGAACACGACTATTTTTGATTAAAAAGATGACTCGTAATTAAGTGTCATATAATAAATTTAATAGTAAAATTTAATAGCTTTATACTTTGTGAGAGAACATAAACTGATTGCCTTGTGTCTCCAATATATAGCATCACCGAAATAAAAAGCCGCAAACAGTACCTTGAATTGTCATTTCTAACAGTTCTTGCATTGCCAAATGCCTCCAAAAGTGGGTTTGACTAGAATAGAAACAAGTAGATGTTAGCATAATTGCAATTTGACTGCATGGTGAGAGCTGTAATATGAAAAAGAAATACAACAGATTAAATCCATCAACAAAAGACCAAAATGTATTTCTCATCCAAGAAGGAAAAAGAATTTAACCAATTAAGATATAAGCCTCAGATACTTCTCAACACAATGGTAGAAAATATTCAATGCCTACAAATTGTAAGTTTTTTGGGTTTTGCTATTTGTACACCGGGGTTGACAGTGTACACACACCCCCCACCCCCTCACAGTAGGGGGGACCCACGTACAATAAAAAAATCGTGGGCGCCTCTATTGTGAGGGGGATGTACACAGCAAAACCCAAGTTTTTAAATCCAAGAATTAACTTTAGCCACAAAATATTATCAAACAAAGTCAAAGGCCTACCTCGAGAACTTGTTGTTCAACGGTTCTATCACCACCAATAGCACGACCACCAACATAAGTAAGATACTGCATTATCAATTTCGTTGTCTCAGTTTTTCCAGCCCCACTTTCTCCACTAACTAATATAGACTGGCTACAACCTTCACTTATCATTGCTCTGGGACATAAAATAAACACAGAATCACCAAATCATTAATAAGCATATATGATACATTTCCATGGTTTAAAAAAGCGGTAATGAGGCGCACCTTGAGGCGCATGTAGTATGCCTCGAGGCGGTATTTTTTAAGCTAAAAATATGAGGCTCACGCCTCTAAATTTGAGGCGCGCGCCTTCATGTAAAATTTGATTTTTCAATTGTATGAAAAGAAATCAGAAAGAGCCCTTCTTAAAAAAAAGGCCCATTTAAAAAAGCATTTTGGGCCCAAACAAAACAATAACGATGCTAGTAATAGTAATGATAGTGCAGACTATTAGGTTTTTTTTTAATTTAAGCTGCTTCTTTTTTCTATTGCAAATTAAGTGATTTCTAACTTCTATAATGTTTTTTTTCTAAACATCTTCTTTCTTGAAGTGGACTATGGCCCTGTTTGAGCAAAATTATTGTAGAATGAGAATGAAAAATATAGCCGTTATTGGGACCCACATAAGAAATAGAAAATTTGAATTTAAATGTTGATGTGATGGATAACGATCATATTTTTCATTTTAATGGGATAATAATGTAGATCAAACGGGGGCTATATCTCAATATGCTAATGGTTATATATCCTATTTACTATATGCTCCAACTTTGATTTTTTTGTNTTTTTTTTTTGTGAGGCTTACGCCTCAATCCACCTCGAGGCTTACGCCTCGACTCGTAAAGAAAAACTGCATCAGTACTAAGTTTCGCCTTTTTAAACCTTTTACATTTCAATGGCAACATAAACATTTAAACATTATGAACCTGTAAGAAGCATCAGCCACAGCAAATACATGGGGGCTCAATTCGCCAAAGGTGGCTCCCTTATACTGCTCCATCATATAAAGATTATATAGATGAGGAAGCTTGGTAAACGGGTTAACAGCGATCAAGATACTTCCAGTGTATGTCTACAATAAGTATAAACCACATATCAGCCCAGAGTAGAAGTAAACCAGTAACCAAGCATTCCAGAGTAGATAAAAATTTAAAGTTCAGATACAATTCCCTTATTACCACACAATTGGCAGCTAGAATGTAGAAGAAAAAATTATTCCAGTAATAAAGGGATATTGGAATTTAAAGTATTCACCGACCATAAACTGATTGAGGTTCACCAAAAGCTTTATGTGAAAAGCTTGCTTCTTTACACAAAATAAAAAAGGGTTGAGTGAGTCCAGCATGCATGCAACATCATTTATGATTGTTAAAAATAGTTCATTCGATAGTTTGAAGCCTCTTTAACAGGTTTGGACCGTTTGGTTAACAGTTGAATTTACCAAGTTTTACTTTGATGGAAAAAGAAAAATATTAGTACTAAGAGAGAGGCAGAAAAGCAACAAAAAGTAAATATAAGAAAATCAAGCAAACTAGTTATCCTACAAGTTCAATGCCATTTTCTTCTAAAAATTGTAACCTTGGCTCCTTATTTCAACTCAATATAGTAGTGTGATGCACAGACTAGACAAGGGACACGTACACAGCAATATACCAACTATGAATTTTCGTAGACAAGGATGAAGTAGACAACATAACATAAAATTTGCATACTGTGTTTTCTAAAAGGTATATACATATATATATCTACTGGTTAACAAAATTGATAAAGAAGCCCTCCAAAAATAAATATGAATAAATCTACGGAAAAACAGAGAGAACTACAGATACAGTGACAACTCTATGGCTGGCAAATGCTTGCAGCATGAACCGAAGCTTGAGACTTCCAAAGTCACGGTCTTTGCAAAGTTGTACACAAAAAGACAATGATATTACCCAACAATATTTTTTATCACCAGAAACTTAAAGTTAGTGAGACAGATGTCAGCATCAAAATCATTAATCAGCAGTAAACTACTAATTGGCACAACATTAAAGTAAAGCAACCAGAAAGTTCCATTTTTCACCATTCCCAGAGCATAAAGGATATCACTTAAACATCTCCTAGGTATCTCAAAAATAGAAAGAATAAAAATATTTGACTTGTGTCTAGGCAGCCGATGGATAACCATCTACCAACCTACCAAGGAAAGTCTACTCATTGCCTGTTTCATAAATAAGAAACCCGTATACAAGCATTCTGTGCATCTTCATAGATTGGTACCAATCTTCATAAATTGGGTTGCCATTTTCATCATCCAAGCACATTTAAATGCTCGATATAAAACATTTAGCTGGGTGAAATAGAGGAGTCCTCTTCTCCGTTTATTTCATAGCACTCAAAGAAACTAATGGACGGAGCCATGCCCCGTTCTTTATATATTAATCCTAGCAAAACCAATAGAAACAGATTTATTCAATGAGCAAAAAGGAGAGAGGTGTATACGAAAATGCTGCATGCTCTATGTATTTGGAAGATCTTCGAAGATCCCTCTTGCTGATATTAAAACTTTCAAACTTATACCATCTTTTGGAAGCACGTAAAATTTTAACCAAGCACTTCTACACCTCCTAAATGAGTAAGCAGCTGCCTAGAGTATCTACAATCTAGAGCTCTGGTTGACCATTCAACCAAATGTAATCATACTTACTATTGTGTACAGGTCATCCCATGGTTGGATTTTTTTCCTATGGCTAGACAACTTTTGTGGACAATATTTTACATTGAATCAATCGTGTTTTAAAACACAAAAAAGTTTCTACATTATTGTATTGAATTTGAAATTTAATATCACGGGAAAATTTATCCACAACTAAAAATGCTGAAATGGAATATTGCTCCTAAACCAGTACTACAAAAGTCAAAACCCAGCCATTCTTTTTCAACAAAAGCAATAATAAATATAGCAAAAGGGAGAATGGGTGCTGAAATATGCCATCTTCAACTGCATAGACTTCAGATCATTCAAGATTACTCTATAAAACCCTTAATACGATCCAATATCTACGTAAGAAAAATAAATAAATGAAATTAGCTCTTGCAACGCAAGGTACCATTGTATTTGCTTAAGAAATAAGAAATCACTGCTCATATCGGGCATTGAAGTTGCACCTTGCTTTCAGACAATTGCAATATTAGCAATTTGCTTTGTTGTTTTGTGTGTTTATAGTAATATGGGTAACTTCAGTATTAGTATACAAGAAACTTATAAAGCAATGTAATTCTTTTTTTCTCTTAAGTACATAAATAAGGTTATATCATAATTAAACTCATGTAATTAGTAAATTCCTTCACTAAGAACTCACACAATTTCCATCACTTTAAGTTACGCTTAACGAACGTACTTTTGTCCAAAGATCAAAATCAGAACTAACATTAAGCCACTGTTTGCCCATATTAAAATTTTAATACATTTTTCTCTACCTTCTTGTCAACCGCACATTCTCCAATAAAATAATATTACACGTAGATCAAAAACTTTTTCATCTTTTTTTAACCACACATTCTCCCAAAAATTACTATTCCAAAATACATTATTTCCAAAAATCTCAGTCAAACTGGTTAAATTTTTCTTTTCCAAATTTTAAAATTCTTAACTTCATTTTTGTCAACTTCCTTTATTTATTCCTCCGTTTTCAAATGAAATGAGTAAATTCCACAATAACCAAATTAAGAACCAGGAGTGGAGCCGATAAATACACTCTTCTTGTAAATACGGAAAATCAAATTCCCCCCAATTCATGTAATAATGCAATTAAACTTTCCGAATTTGAAAAGAAAATATCTAACTAAATTTAACAGAATGTGCAAATTTAATGATTGATTGTACATTGCTTTCTCATTTCTGACAAGCTTAGCTTAGTTTCAAAACATACAGATGCAAAAGCTAATTAATGTAATCAATTCAAGAACACTACCAAATTTAAATAATGAACATAATTCCCTAGTAGCTCACATAAATTTCATTGAGAGCATATCTTCTTTGCAGATTATCAAGAACACCCGGCTCATTCAAGTAAGTTAGTTTGGTCATGTCATCCACTCCTCCATGGTCCGCCTCCGTATCCCGCAAATGCAATTTATCTGGCACCGCCAACACCTATGCCAAAAATTAAAACCAAAATCAACACAAATCACTATTTTCACCAATTCACACAAAAATCAAAAACAACAAAAATTTTTTAAAAAAAAAAATCACCTTTTTACCGGAGACTGTGAGGAGTTGAACATGTTTACCGATAAAATCAGTTACCTCGGCCGCTACCCAAGCCGAGTCCTTATCTTCCACCCACACAGTCGACCCCTTCCGAAGAGTCATTCTTTCGTATATTCTTTTGCTCAAGAATCAGTGTTCATACAAAGAAATTACACACGTGTACAACAAGAAGAAGAAGAAGAAGAAAAATTATTGAATTTTTGGATTTTGAAATTTGAATGGAAAGGACGAGTTAGAAACCCTAGAAAGAGATTGATAAATGTCAAAAAAGGGGTGAAATTTTTCAGCTTCCCGCCCTAAGAAATGGAACACGCAATTTTGCTTTGTAGTTAAAAAAGATAGGCTCCTCTGCTACTAATATTTGTTTAATATTTTGTCTTCTTTCAGTATTTGTGAAATTGAATTGCTGACAGTGATGACATTAAATTGCATCGTAGTCCCTGTATAGTTGTGAGTTTTCTCAGTCACCCCATTTTTATGAGAAATTGTAAATAGCGAATAAATTGTTTGAACACTCACTGAACTTTAACATGGTCACGACTTACTCACTGAACTTCTAATTGCCTCTTAATGGTCACTGAACTTTCTGTCGTTGCACCACATCCGACTCTCACCAAATTCTGTTNGCCCACCCCATGCCCTCTGAGTGTTGGATGTTGTGCAATTAATGAAAGTTCAGTGACCATTTAGAGGCAATTTGAAGTTCAGTGAGTAAGTCGTGATCATGTTAAAGTTCAGTGACTGTTCAAACAATTTACTCAGCATGTGTTTAGCCCCCATACTTTCAAAAACTTATTTTCAATCACACGTTTTTCCATAAAATAATATTACGCTTAAATCAAAAATCTTGTTTATTTTTCAACCACACATTCACCAACAAAATATTATTTCAAACTAAATTTTTATCCAAAAATTAGACTTAAACAAGGGCATAGTTTTTCAAGTGGGGTTAATTTCACACACATGGTCGCCGAACATTTGACACAGTGTCAACTTGGCTGCTAAACCTTTTACTTACTATTATCATCGCCACCTAATTATTTCAAAAAATTGTTTGGTACAGTAAGATTCTCCACCACACATTCATCCAATAAAATATTCTACACACAAATCAATAAAGTTATTTTAAATTTCAACCACACATTCTCCAAAAAATAATATTCATTACTCTATTTTTCTCTCAATAATGAAAGACAAATACCCCCTTAATTTATTTCGTCATGACCATCCGACTTTATAGGATTAATACCATTGAGGGTGTAACTTTTGAATATTTTTAAGATGGGGTCCCGAACATTTAGCCCCTATTTGAATCGAAGTCAATAATTAATTTTAATCACGTATAACACATGTTTGGTAAAAATTAAAATTCATACTTTATTATAAATCAAAGTCAATAATTAATTTTAACTGCATATTTCATGGAACCCACAATTTTTCAATCATACATTTTATCGACTTTTATCAAAATCTATTCAAAATTTAATTTTAATCCTCATCAAACAAAGGCATATTTAATGGTACCACAAAACTACTGTCAAAATTTGTTAAAATCTAATTTTAACATCGACCAAATGCGGGCTTAATTTCTAGCAATCAAAGTCCCAAGTTTTCAAATGTCTGTGTCGGGGTCCTGTCGGGGTCCAAATAAAAAACATTAGTTTAATTGTTAAAAATGTCAAATTACGAGAAAATGATCATTATACCCTTATTTTGATTTTAAAAAAGGTAAAAAAAAAAAAAACAAGAAAACAAAAGAAAATGATAAGAGGAGGAAAATAGAAACTTCTTAATTTTTAAATGAAACATAAATAAATTTCGTAGTTTTATCTTTTTCCTAACATTTAAGATTCGAATTTGCATTTTTCATTCTTTTCGTTTAAATTATACTAAAGGTACTATTGTATTTTATTCAAAAATTGGCATTTTACCTCTTTTTTGTTACAATATAACCGTAGGAGCTGACATTTGAAAGCTTTTGAACTCCGACTACTAGAAATCAAAGTTTCAATTTCCATCGTCGAAAGGTTAGGACTCTAGTGCTATTTACTCGGACTTAGGAAATAAAGTAAGTTGAGTGGCAATAGCGACACAAAATGGTAAGTTTAGTGGTTACGGTTAAACAAGTTAAAGTTCGGTTGGACTTAGGAAATAACGTAAGTTGAGTGGCAATAGCGACACAAAATGGTAAGGTTAGTGGTGACGGTTAAACAAGGTAAAGTTCGGTGGCATGACGCCACCAGTAGAAAGTATGGTGACCATAGGTCCTTTTCAAGTGTGGATTCATTAATCAAGTTTTTGGACAAAAGCAAACTCGAATACGTTTAATTGATGACTTTTAGAGGCTGTTTGGTGAAAATTAAAATTTAGATTTTTAGTAGATTTTGATAGAAATTTTTGAAATGTGTGATTGAAAAGTTGTGGAACCCGTGAAAGATGTTAATATTGATTGTTTGATTTTGACTTGGATTAAAATCAGATTTTAACACAGACCAAACAGATGCTTAATTGTAATAAGAATAGTATTACATGTTTTTAAGGTTTTAAAAAATGTATAACCACCCAAATTTGGGCATATACTGTTAAGTTTCAAGGTGTGACATTATGCTCCTGTTCGGTGGGAATTGAAATCAATTTTTGAATAGATTTTGATAGAAATCGATGAAATTGTAAATTCCTTTAAAGATATTATTAAAATTAATTTATTGACATTGACTTGAATTTATATTTTGATTTTTCCTTCAAACAAGGGCTAAATACTTGTTCGGCCTAGATTAATGTAAAATGAAGCTATATGGGAGTTTGTCTGGATGATTCCACATTTCAATAACTAAGCCCTCATTCGACAATTATTATTTGAAAACTATTTTTTCTACACTTATTTTTCAATTACATATTTACACAATAAAATATTTTGTATATAAGCCAAAAAAAATTCATTACTTTTTAACCACACATTCTCCTAAAAATCATCATTCAAAACTTTTTTTTTTTTTTAAATAATAGTTGTCAAACAAGGGCTAAACAAGATTGAGAGCAAAGGACCAATTGGCACCATAACACAAAATACAAGAGTAATTTTCAGGGTGCAAAAAATTGTGGGGCTAATTTCGAATTTAAGCATAATCCAAGGTCCACCCTTTGGCTATATCGCGTGTCAAACGGCGACGCTTACTTGTCAAGCAAGTGATCGAAGGGGCTTCGACTAAGATAATACGCCATCGTATCAAAATCAATTCCAATTGTTTAGTAGCTAGTGTCAAATCACATTTCAAACTTCAAAGGGTCTCGAAGTTCGCTTTACTAACGGAGATGCCACTATGGGCCAAAATATCAGCCGTTTAGCCTGGTCCAAAGATAAGGCCATTAAAAATGTCACACGCTCTTTGCCGTGCTGGGAGAGCCTGCCTGCCTGTTAATTCCCTAAAAGGCCCTTCAAAGAAATTAAAAAGCATTTATAAGCGTCAAAATGGATGGACCGGTACAAAAGCTTGGTTACACTTCCCGGGGAGACCAGGCTATTACAGGGAGGGCCCAATTTGACACCTCCTCGCCGACGAACACTCACCATTTATTCAAACATTTAATGAAAAATAGAAAATAAAGAGCTCGTTTGAAAGATATTTTTTGAAAATCATTTTTCTCCAAAATAAATTTCAGCGTTCTCCAAAAGAAATCATTTTTCTTTCCAGAAAGTATCTCCCAAACAAGCTCTAAGTGAAACAATAATACAGCAAGAACCGACCTAGTTCGGGAAAAAATGTAGTTAGCATAACACAACCCGTTTTACACTTGCAATTTATTCACATAACAAGAGGTTGGTAATAATGAAACTAATAACTTAAGCAGCTTATAAAACAGAATTGTCAAGAAAGACATGGATCTAAAATCTGTGTGTTCACATCAGGGATTCCTGTGGAATTGGCAGAGGCGAATAGCGCAATAGAACCTCCTCAGGTTCGAGCATATTTACATTCTGCAATATATGAGTCAAATTTAATCCGACTATTTGCACTTGTGGATTGGAATGCCCGTTGAGAAATAAATTTGTGATCTGCAAAACAGAACATAAAACAAGGTAAGAAAATGATGAGCCTTGCTTGTAGCCTTACTAATCTTCACTCACTCGTGTCATGAGCATGTTTGGCATTTCATCGTAGCCGTTATCCAGAAATTTTCATAGATTTTTATAGTTTAATAGACCATGTTTGGACCACATTAAAATTTTCATTCTCATTCTTCTACTCATTTTCAACTACACATTCTTTAATAAAATAATATTTTCCAAATTTTTCCTTCTTTTTCCACCACACATTCTCCATCAATCTACTATTCCAAAATACATTCTTTTAAAATAATGTGACTCAAACACAGCCTTAGATATTTATACCATGTCGAAGTAAGAAACCATAACATGTATGTTTGGAAAATATTCCATTTTGAGAGAGTTGAAAAAACATTATCTCTTCTATACATCTGCAATTTTTCAACATTACTCATGATTCAAAAACTGTAAATGATGAAAAGTAAAGAGTTAATATGTATTAAAAAGCATTACATAAAGACTTAATAATGCACATTAGAAAATAAGTGTTTGTTTGGTAGGGATTTTTGGGAGAAGAATTGATTTTTGAATAGTGATATGATAGAAAATGAAGAAAAAATTATTGATATGATGGAAAATAAGAAAAAATTATTGATATAATGGAAAATATTATTTTATTGAAAAATGTGTGGTTGAAAATGAGAATTGATTTACTATAAAAAATGAGAATCTGTACCAAACAGGCTCTAAGAATAATTTCAATTTCCACCAAGGATTTGCTTTTTGTTTAGATAGAAATTGTAATAAGAATTATACTTTTTGTAAATTCTACAAACTCTTTTGTTGATCTTTGAAAACGAACAATCATGATTTGTAATCCACATTTGTCTAAATGTTTAGTCTCCAATAAAAATCTACATAAGGAACAAGAATGAGAAAATTATGATTTCTACATTCTTGTGCTAAAAACATAATGAATTATATTCTATTATCTTTGAAACCCTAGTAGCTTATTAATATAAGTTCAAGTGCGTTTAGCCTATCTCTTAAGCTTAATCGGGTCCATATTTAATTAATCTAATTAATTAAATTTGGTCCCTGAATTAATTAATTCGGCACAAACAACACAATTAATTAATTATCCAACACGTATTAATTAATTAATTGGTCTAATTCTCCTTTTGTGTGTGTCTCATTATGTTTTCGATTACGATACCTAACAACATTAACTATTATTTTAATCTAATTAAAATCATTAAATTAAAATACTTCTTTTAGTTTATCACGAATTCACATATGTCATCACAAATTGATATCTAACAATGCGTTGAGGCAATACACGTGACAGAAAATGTTACATGGCATGACAAAACCAAACTTATTCATTTACCATGAAATTATAATCATTTCGTCAATATGATCCAATCAATAATGAGATATGGATACGTGTCAATCTCAATTATCGATCATATCTTTTATCCCAGTGTTAAGTCAATATAAGTCGAAAACTCTTAGATACTAATGCAAGTTCTTCCCTTCTGATCAGATAGATTCATATATGAAGGGGGTTGTTTCCCAACATATTTTGATATGTTACATTTTGCTTACTTTTAGTGGGGAAAAAGTTATTTACAGAATGTTCTCTGCTTACGAGCAACTGGGAACTTTTGCATGAAAATCAGAAACAAAACAGCAATTATCGAAATCAATTATAACTCTCCACAATCAAAATCAGCATGCTTTCAGGATTTATGAACCTTGAAGATAACAATTTTGTTGCTTTTATGGCATGCATACCTCTGTACAACCGAAGACTTTGACCAGCTTCAGTGACAAGCAACTATCAACAATCAAACCTAATGCATTGTCAGTAATTTGGCGACACCACGATAGATCCAAACTTAGCAACTTTCTTGAACATTTGGCGAGTGCCAAGGCAGTGTTGGGGCCGACCTGTTTATTATGGTTCATCAGTAAGCATCAAACAAATATGTGGATAGGAAGAGTGTGTTAAAACAAGCTGATGTTAATAAATTTACAGTGAGTTTTCATATAAGGTAGAATGACACAAAAAAAAAAAAAAAAAACTCCAACAAGTATTTCATACCTTCGTCACATTATTCAGCAAGAGTTCCTCCAAAAACTCTCCAGAACTTTCTAGAAATGCTGCCATAGCTTCATCGCTGACACGAAAAGGAACAAACCAGATCAGATCGGTGGTGCAAGAAAAGCAAACAACATTATCATGTAAAGGAAAATAGAAGTGAATCACTCAATCCCATCATAGAATATATAATGGTGCAAGAATTTAATCTAGGAGAGTGTAAAGAAGTACAACTTTTCCATGAATTTTGCATAAAAACAAGAACCAATGAAAACCTGAACCGGTTGCGGCAAAGTCTGAGCTTTTGAATTCTTCGACAACCATTGGCAAGGTATTCTATTCCCAAATCTGTCAAGTGATGCAGGTGCGAAATGTTTAGTGAACGTAAATCAGCACAAATACTCCCAATGACTTGAAGTGAACGATCTGTCAAATTACTACAGCAAAGGTAAAGCAGATAACAGTTAGAACCCAAATTTAGTTGGAAGTGTTCGCATTTTGATTTATCTAAAAAACATCAACTTACAGACAATTAGCAAAGTCAAGCTCTTTAATATTTCGACCGCATATGGTAATCAAGTCATTCACAAATTGATCGCTTACAGTCGGGATTCCAGCAACTGACAACACTTCCAAATGTTCAAAATCCTTCAATGCAGGTAGAATAAGCATTGCATCTATTTTTTGGCAATCATCTATATAGAGCTCTCTCAAAATTGATCCCAGAGAATAGGCTATAAATTTAATGCCAGCACAAGTTAGAAGAGTGCACTGTCCCAAGTTTATAGATCGAAGTGCAGGGGCTGACGTTACAATTGTTTGAAGTCCATTGTCTGTTAAACGACAGGCACCTCTAAGGGAAAGGATAGCCAAATTATGCAAGCTAGTTGAAAACCGAGCAAATGTATCAGCAAATGCATAATCAAGCGTGCATTGCCCGCACAAGTCCAGTTGGAGTACCTGTTTACATAACCAACCCCGCATAACTAATTAGTTACACTAAGCTAATTTACATAAAAAAAAAAAAAAGAAGAAGCAATCAAGGAAATAAAGAACATTATTCTATTAACCCCCCCAAAAAACTCAAATAACAAAAGAAAATTATAACACACATCAAACCAATCACATGGAGAGAACTATGGAGACTTGAACCTAGGTTCGGAGCCCCTCCTTCCCCTATTTCTGGGCTCTTGATCAGGAAACAGTCACAATGATCTTATACTTCATTAATCTGTATATGTTTATTTTACTTCTCTTCACCCAACAGCAGAGAATTTGAACGCACCACCTCCTTTCCCTATTTCTGGGCTCTTGATCAGGAAACTGTCACAATGATCTTATACTTCCTGAATCTTTATATGTTATTTTACTTCTTTTCACCCAACAACAGAAAATTTGAACACACTGTCATTTACCTATGAATAAATCTATCTGGAAAATAAAGATTCAATAATAACGATAGTGATAGTGACCATGATGTGATGATAAAATATAATTTTGATTAAAGACGTCATTTTTTCTGTTCATTCATGTCATGAATTCCTTCATAAAAAGTAAGTTCTGGATTTGCTGGAGACATAAAGAAAAAGAAAAAGAAAAGAACGCTGATGTCAGTACAGAGATGCTAAGTGAGACAGTATGGAGATGAATACGTAACTTCAAAGCAAAACTTTAACTATTCATGCGATGCTACATTGTCTACCCATCACAGATTCCCTCTGATATGTCACTACGTTAGTATTCACAGATCACTTCCATTGATAGGCAAATGATCTGTTTTGACTTTCTCAAAAAAGAACTTGAGCATGTTTGATGCTAGTTAAATATATGGAAGGTAAGGACCTGTGTGTAATGTGACACATAAATTGTGCATGGAGGATGGGAAACTATCCAATTCAAGAATATGAAATGCCAATGTCCTTTGCAGGCGTCTTCTCTAATTAACCTTATGCATCAAACTCTGCATTCTTAGGAGAGGAATCAAAAGACTCGACCATAACACAAGACCACCGAGATGTGCTTCGGTAAACGGAGTGATCGATGTAGTACTTATAGCTAGACTAAAGGAATAAGAAATACATTTACACAAAAACAATTATTGATTAATTTGTAAGGGAAGGTGGCGAGATAAAGGAAGAGGAAGATGGGGAAATATAAAAACAATAGTAAAGTCATTTTCCATCATGGTATACATTTTGCCATTAATCTCTATCTTTCTTAGCCTACTATATCTGATTGTCAATGTGATATGCCCCAGAAGCAAACTAAAATTGCTTGAAGTAAGTGATTTTTTCCCCTCTTCTTGTCTGTTATGAGACATCAGCTTATCAAGTTAATCATTTCTTTAGGGCCTGGGACTAGACATCTTTCAGAAAATGATTTGTATAATAGATGAGTTTTCTGAATCTGAAATTTCAAATGAGACGAAGACAAGTTATCTTACGAACCATCTACAATGATAAGATCAAAACTTGGATATCTCACAAGGATCTTGAAAATGCCACATTAGTAAACTAGCTCAATAGATATATGGTTACTAAATGGGTAGTAATTATAAACATGAGGTTAAAATTACTGTTTTGACTTAATAAAAATAGTAACTTATAATTTTACACAAACAGAGGCATAATTAGTAATTTAACAAGAACACTTGAAAACTTCATACAAGCTACCAGGGCATAATATCCCAGTAGCACATAAAATATGAAAGAAAATAATGAAGAATTGAGTTACCCTCAAATCTCTTGTCTCGCAGTTCTGAAACACCTGAGTGAACTGTTTTTCAGTTAACCACGAACAGTTTTTTATTCGTATCTCAGTGGGGCATCCTTTTACTAAGAGGTCCAAGATATGCACATCCATTTTCCGGATATCACACAACAAATCAGTTAATCGCCTCTTAAGCATATCTGGCACCAGTTCAAGCGACACAATTCCCTCGGCGTTCTCTGCTAGAGCTCTCAAAGAAAGATCCAACAGTGAAGGAACAAGGGGTACCGTGACACTATGACCATGATTATCTTCTGCAGGTTTCCACTCAATCAACTTTAGAGCACCTGGCCTAGCATTTCGTGCTTTTATCATCTTAAGTGCATCAGAAAAGGGTCCAGGAGAATTTCCTAGCTGCACGTCAGCTTCTAAAGGAGGCGATTTGTTTTCCTGACTTGAAGATCCATTTCCGAATTCCTCAGTAAGGTAATCAACGCGTGCTAATTGTTTAGCACTTTGTCTCGAAACTCCTCGGTACCTAACTGCGCCTGGTTCTTGTCTGATTAAAACTCCAGCCCTTTCATCCCTATCAGCTAATGCTGGTGGCTGCTCTTCTCTAAATTCTATAGATGGAGTTCCTAACAGATGTACATCTTCCCAAGGATGACCAATTTCAAGTAAGCCATCAATGTCAGGCCATGAATCTAAATCAATTGGATAATTAGGCCCAACCGATAAATCAGTTGGATAATTAGGCCCAACTGATAACCAAGGATCCACAGCCGGAGCCTTACCCTTCTCTTCCTCAGTATATCTCTTCTCACCACCACTCGCTAAACTACTTTTACAAACAATAGTCTCCATTCCAATCATTGCTAATCCTAGTCTATTTTGTCTGTATTTATTTGTGAACAAGTATTCTCACCACCACTCGCTAAACTACTTTCACCAACAATAGTCTCCATTCCAATCATTGCTAACCCAAGGTTCAAATTTTCTGCACTATCATATAACATCCCGACCTCAATTGACTTAATCTTTTCGATATTGTCTTTTTTATAAGCTATTATTTCCACCTCATCATCACTCTCATCCGATGTAATGTCTATAATTTCCACTCTCCTCTCATTGATTGCAGGTTGGTATTGTGTATATTCTTGAAAGACCATTTCCGTCCCATCATCTTTCGTGGGCTCATTAATATCAAAATCAAACCTATTTTCCTCTTTCCCGTCATTAAAAATCAAATCAAAGTTAATATCAAAATCCCATTTGTTCCCATCATTCACACGAAGAAGACTTGAATCCTCTGCAAAACTACGAGAAACCTCATTCCCAGTCAAGAAATCATTTTGATTCATTGCTCCAACACCCACTTCTCCGTTCTTAATATCACCCCCCTTTATGTAGTTCTCATCATTCCCGTCATAACGCCTAACTTTCTTAAATCCCAACATTTCATTTCCCCCTTCAGAATTTCCACTTACTCTCTTCATCTCAGTCAAATAAATTGAAAACCGAATCAAAACTCTGCGAAAAATCAAGGGTTTTCTTTAAAATCAAAGAAAAAAATTCATGGGAGCAAAACTCTGCATCAGAAAACCTTTCTTAAACCCAGCTTTTTCATTCCCCCCGCAAAATCCCACTTACCCTCTTCATCTCAATCAATCAAATTTAAAATTATAGACTGTATAAAAACTCCGCATAAAAATAAAGGAAAAAGAATCGTGGGATTTGATAAAAATAAAAAAATAAAAGCTCTTAATCCCAATCAATTTGAAGATTAAAAATCCAATCAAAACTCAAAAATCAAAAAGGGAAATTAATCTTTTAAATCAAATCGAAAAAAAAAACTAGGGATTTGATCGGAAAGGGTAAACTTACATTTTTCCATCAGAAAACCAAGAATCCAAAAAAATCCCTCCCAATCAGACAAAATTGACGACGAACAAAAAGAGACCGACTTAGGATGGTAGCGCTTAAAGAGTGATTAAAAAGATGTTTGAACTGAATTAATCCAACAGTTTTACAATCATTCAAAATGGGTTTTGTGAGGGCATTTAAGTAATGTGTGGATATATATAAATAAATACACAGATAAGAATATCGATAAAAATATCGGTGGTATAAATAAACGAAATTGAATGCGAAGTCATTGACGAAGACTTGTGTCGAATATTGGAAAATTGATTAATGGAAAGCAAAAGCAGCAGAAAGAAGGATTCACAGAATTTATTGGTAAATTGCCTGTAATGGAACCGTAGATGGTGGCTAGCTCTTTGTTTTCTTTTCCTTTTTTCTGATGAGTAGGACTCCATGTAAACACGCACGCGGCCCCACCGCCGGCACCTCCGCCAACCGGGCCCCACCACGCGTCTTTGTAGAAGTATCATATATGTGTGTACACAGGAGTTGTTTGAGTCTTAGCCATGTCTGAACCATATTAAACATTTTTCTACTCATTTTCAATCATACATTTTTTAATATAATAATATTTTCTATTATATCAATAATTTCATTTCTTTTTCAATCACAAATTCTTTATTAATTTACTATTCAAAAATACATTCTTTCAAAATAACGTGACTCAAACACACCCTTATTACTTGACAAAGAATGTAATTTTGAATAATAAATTACGGAGAATGTGTGATTAAAAAATAAAGAAATTTTTTGAACATTTGTATAATATTATTTGATTGAAAAATGTGTCGTTGAAAAAAGAGATAGAAAAATGTATTTTAAAAATAACGGAGCTCAAATAAGGACGTATAAAGAAAGAAACTAATTTGGGGGAAATTGCAGTACGAGCTCTAAATTATTGATACACTAGCAAGTTTGTCATAAATCCTTAAAATGTAGTAAGCCGATCCTCAATTTTTATTTTAATAGCATAATTAGTCCTCCATGGCAAAAAAAATGTCTAGTAAATTCTCTTGTGGTCATTGTATATCATGTTCCATAGTTCTAGTAGTTGCTTTAAAAAGGATAACATCTTGAGCTAGTGGGATGTGCTTTATAGAAGATTTGATAAATTTTGTGAGTTGAGACTCAATTGTGCAACCACAACTACTAAGTCCCCGTTCGGGAGGGATTAAAATTGAAAATATGGTCGTTATTGGGTCTCACTCGTCTAATAAAAGTCAACAATAACGGCTATATTTTCAATTTTAATCTGATTTTAATCCCTCCCAAACAAGCTCTAAGAAAGCTTATGACCAACTTTCAAATAAGGCAATAAGTCGGGACCAACTTGAAATGCGCATGCTTAGTAGGTGATTATAATTGGACTAAATTATAAATAAATAGAAATGAGCAGTAAATAAGTAGGTAGTATTTATGAATCACCATAACTACGTGGATAAAAAGTATATCGACCGCGAGTGATTAAAAATAATTTTCATTAAAAAAAAATTATGAGAAAGTTCATTGTGCTGAGAGTTTTTTCAACTTTCTTTTATTATTTTTATTATAATTAGGTGAAAATAATTATGGTACTATTTGGGTCAAATATATAGTATGACAATTATTCCACTTGTACGAACTATTTCATCTGTAAAAATACCAGATCATTCACATGGGGTGGACCTCATGTGAATAAAATATTATTATAAAATATGGGACCCACCCCATGTGTGTGATCTAATATTTTTACAGATGAACTCATAGTATGATAACCAACCGCCGAATAAACTAATAAAAACGTACGTTGCCTTGACTTCTTATCGTGTCATTTTGTCTTATTGTAACTATTGTCGTCGGTGGGTTAATTTTTTAAGCAATCCCTTGTGAGTAGTCTACGTCTTTAATAGATTTCACAATAAATATTTCGAATATGTTTTTCTCAATAAGAGTAGTGATTTTATTTTATTTTCTAAATAATTGAATTTTTGGTATCGATACCATTTAGGACTTAATATTACAAGGATTATATCGACACCAAATTTTTATTTGTTGCACTTCATAAAAAGTAAACTTAAGGTTCTCAGGATTTGTTCATTGTAATAATCGTGTCCCTATCTTTTTTCTTCAAAACTTTATTTTAAATCTTCATTTATTAGCACATAGCATCCTTGATGGTGGTACTATCTGAATATTCTGTTTGCGTGCTATGAAATAATTAAAAAAAAAAAATGTCTCGCTTTTGTATTTAGTTTTTCAAAAAAAATATGATATGTAAATAAGACGTCTATGTCCCCCGATGGGGTTTTGGGACGAAATAATACAGATATAGGATTATAAGGGGAATTAAAATGGAGTACAACACAATATTATTTGGTGTGACTATAGTTATCCCTAGAACAATATATCAAAGATTAACTTATTTTTCCTCGTTAATAATCTTTCACTTCGAACATGTTGTAATATTTACTATAGCTTTACGTCTTTCCATTGCAATCTTTTACTTTTACGTATGAAGATGTAAAAAACATTTATATTCATAAGAACCTTCATATAGAAATTGGTTCTATGAAATAATCTTCATGCAAACAACTTTTCACTCGAGAATTTGAGGAAAGAAATTAAGAACACCAAAACCAAGAACAATTTGGGCGTTGCATCCTTCAAGCGTTTTTTTTTTTCCTCGAATTTCATTGCTTAGTGAATTTCCTAAAGCACAATTTTAATTTTTAAAAAAAGTATCGATCATGCTATGAACATTAAGGTTAACATAAAGCTTGACATCATGTCATATGACATTCTATCATTTGACAATTTAAAATATTATCAACTTTTCCAACCAATCATGTATTGCAACATATAATTATGTCAAACTTTCTGTCAAATCCTTCTAGCAAAGTAATTTTATCCAAAAATAGGACTAGGACCATAAGAAAAATATAGCAAAGATAAAGTGAATTTAATAAATTACAATCATGTGATAGGAGCATCTCAAATGCGTTGTATATGGATTGCTGTTTAAATGGAATTCTTGAACACCAATACAAAAACTTGCATTTTCTAAAAAAATAATCATTTGACCCCCCCCCCTCCCAACCAACACACACACACACCAACGGAAAATGCCGTTCTTCCTTTTGACTTGTCCAAAGCGTCAACTTGCCAAACTTCGACTTTGATAGAATTATCATTGTTAATAAAGTTTCAACAAACCAATGGTACTTCTTTATTTGAAGTTAAGAAACACGTTATCTAAACAAGGTTGAACAAAAAATTACTTTATTACTATGTTGATTTACTGTGTGTTTGATGGGTTTTTCTAAAGTCAAAAGCGTTTTTCGTTAAGCCCCTATTTGGTTCCGATAAAAAAGTGAATTAAAATTAAATTCAAAATCCACACTTAATTTTAACCACTCATTTTATGGATCCACAATTTTTCAACCACACATTCCATAAAAATATTGTTGACTTTAATTTAAATTTTAATCAACTTTTTTAGTTGTATCGCATGATAGAAATTGCATGTTATGTTTATAATTATATGATAGATATTAAAATACCCGTGCCATGATAGTTTAATTAAAATATTAGTCTTAATAGATTTTATAGCATAGTAAAATAAATATTATTTTTGAAATATATTACTTTCATATTTAGCCCATTTTTTATGTAGATTAAAATTAAAATTTTAGTATTTTTTATAAAAGTTTTTGAAATTTATGGTTGAATAGTTGTGAGTCCATGGAACATGCGATTAAAATTAATCGTTAACTTTGACTTAAGTTAAAATTTAAATTTTAATTATTACCAAATAGGAGGTTAGTCAGCCGTTTATACAAAAAACGCTTTTAACGCAGTCGTAAGTTTTTGTAGTTTTCTTTCGTTTTCCCTTGTTTGAGCCCCATTATTGTAAGAAAATGAATTATTGAATAGTCTTTTTTGGATAATATATGGTTAAAAAA